TGCTTCGCGGATAATTTAAATGTACACAAGAAAACCAAAAATGTGATTAATTCTAATATTTCTGTGGAAACATCTCAGCCAACTACTAGGTATCGACAAATACGTTCATTTGTAAAACAATTTGGTTTTCACGGGAGGCTCAACTGAATCTCTTGTTTATGATATTCTTCAGCTGAATGTGCTGCACAAAGGCCACCTCATTTTCCAGTTGGTACGCCATTCGAGAAATCGTAGTATGTTTTCATGAAGGGAACTACTCACGAGGTTGCTGAAAACTGTTCAACAGCCCACGACCGATTTAACCCTTCTTGGGGCTCATCATAAACGAGAGATTCAGCTGAGGTTATCATGAAAACCAAATTGATTTGCAAATGAGTGTATTTCTCGCATTCAGAGCTCAGTTTCAAAAAAATCCATCCAAAATCCTATGACATTCCACATAAGGTTCGGCAGCCTTGAAAAATATGGCTTCTTCCAGAGAATGGTCTTTCTGAGGAGAGTATATTCTTCTCGGGGAGATAAACGAATTCGTCGCCGTCTACTTGATTACAACAGTGCGATGATCGTCGGCCAACGTATTTTCCTGACCTGGATACCGACACAAACGAATAAACAAATGGGATAACATTCGTTTTCATCCCACTATATCGATATATCTGATAGTATAGACCAGATAGACCCAAATCCCTATTTCGACAAACAGTTGAGTCCGGGCATCAGAGAATAACGTAAAGAACACATGTCATACAAATCACATGTGTGTAGTCCCCCGGAAGACATCACTATTTCTGTCAATCACCCTGTGCGACAGAATTCCAACTGTCGTTACAGTCACTGCATCAGTGCAAATCCAAACCCACCTAGCTAGAAGAAGTGTGGTTGACTGAGTTACCAGCAAGATGACTTTGCACAACACACGCAAGGCTACTCAGAATACAGCTGAACAATTATCTCAAATTACTCGGAGAAGTGAGCTGGACCATCGTGTCCAGTATCTGGTTCCCTCCCCACCGAGCTGATTGTAAGGACTAATAACCGACCAAAAACTTTCGAGGGTAAATAATTCAACTTTGTTTTCAAGCGAGAAGGAAGTGAAATTTGCGGGAAGACGTGACGGTGAGTGAGGGAAACAGTTGGTAAATTTCCCACACGAAGAGGTAGTGCAGTATGGTGTGTGTGTGTATGTGTGTGGAATGACCGGGTTGCATCCTTTGCATCAAACCAAAGCTTGAAAACGGTTCACTTGCTTTTGACTCAAGGATAAGTATGGTGATTCTTTCGGTTAAGTGTAGTGTC